TAAATTGTTTTTAAGTTGCTGTTCACTTGGGTGGTGCGGTAAACAACTGGTTAGCACAACCGTATCCAAGTCAAGAGGTTGTGGGTTTTAATCCGGGCACTGGCCTTCCTGTGTAGAGTCTGCATGTCCCCCTGCCTGCGTGGACTTGCTCCAGCTACTCCGGTTTCTTCTCACGTTCCAAAAATATGCATGGTAGATTAGTTGAACAGTCAAAATGGTCTATCGGTGCGCACGTGTGAATGGTTGTTCGTCAGGCACGTGCCCGGCTCCAACATATCGCCAAACGTTGTAAGGATAAGCAATACAGAGAATGTGGATGGATGGATATTGTTCACTTTAACACATTCTGAAAGGCAATCAAAAACTTTTTAAAAAGTTTTTCCTCCAGTTTCCTGTGGGGTCTAACGGATTAAACTTTTTTAATTACTCTACAAAAACTATGCTTTCATCATGAGTGCAGTCTGGAAATTTTTGGTTCGGTGTTGTTTCCCAGATGTCTCAAGACTGTACCCAAGGAGCTTCAAGTCGCACACACGTTTCAGTTTTCCGAATAAAAGTCTGCCTGTATACCGACTTGTCTTAAATCTGAAAGAACCCCTTTTGTAGTTAATACCGCATGACAAAAACAACATCAAAATTTGGGTTTCACACACCGAGGATACCTCAAATGAATGAGGACATAAAATAATGATATTCCATTGTCAGTTAATCATTGATATCGTCCACTTTTTAAAGACTGGCATCTTATCTACTGATATGCAAATGTGGATTTTGTTTTATGGTGCATATTACAACCACAGCAGGTAGAAATGCTCAAATTAAAAGATAGATAGAAATGATTGTTCCCAGCAGTGTGCTGGACGACTGAGTCATCCTTTGATATAAAATTATATTATGCATGACCTCTCATCTAAATCTGGCCCACCCTCAGAAAGGCACTCTGAAATTAAAGAAAACAGCTGCTACACATGACTGCAGACAGATACCACGTAATAAACTACTTTTATAGACGCAAAGTGTAATTTTTTTGTGAATGGTGAGGTGTTGAATTTAACCAAATGCTTCTCAGACTGCACATTTTGATCCACGGTTGCTTTAACTGATTGATACTGCCGATGATAATCGATCATTATTGACACTTAAGCAACAGCATGTTATCACTTGCTAAAGGCAGAACTCCCAAATGACAAAGTTTTCAACATCACTTTTCCTGAACAGGGTCACAGGGAGTTGCTGGAGCCAATTCCAGCTGACTTTGGGTGGAAGGCTGACTACACCCTGAATTGGTCGCCAGTCAGTCGCAGGGCACTTGTACAGATGAATGAAATTTTACACCCACATTCACACCATCTCTGAGTGGGAACCGATCCCACGCTGCCCGCAGACAAGTCCGGCGTGTGTGCCACTACACCATCAGCAACTCTCAAGACCAGACAGGGTAAATTTCACTCTTGTGGAAATAGTCTGGAGGTATACAGTCCCAGACATCCATCCATCCATCCATTTTCCGATCTGCTTGTCCTCACAAGGGTCGCGGGAGGTGCTGTCTTCGGGCAGTAGGTGGGGGACACTCTGAACCGGTTGCCAGCCAATCACAGGGCACAACGAACAACCATCCACTCTCACACTCACACCGAGGCACAATTTGGAGTGTCCAATCAGCCTGCCATGCATATTTTTGGAATGTGGGAGGAAACCGGATTACCCGGAGAAAACCCACGCAGGCCCGGGGAGAACATGCCAACTCCGCACAGGGAGGCTGGAGCTCGAATTGAACCCGATACCTCTGCACTGTGAGGTCGACGCGCTAGCCACTGGCCCACCGGGCCACCAGTCCCAGACATGACGTTTGGAAAAAAAATTTAAATTCTACTTTGTGTGTACGAACGACTAATTTGTGCGCACAAACTTCTTATACTTTCACACTATTGACTCCTGTGTGTGCACGAACTATTACTTTGTGCGCACAAAATAGGTACAACGTGCACATGAAGTAGCTCTGATTCCTTATTGAACCAGAGGGTCATAAAAATCGGGCGCATCTTCACAGACTCGCTTCTCACTGACCTAATCAGTGCCTTCAAAGGCCTCGAAATTATTGTATGTTTATTTTATACCAACATTAAGTACTGATATCGCGACAAAAAGTTTTGATTTCGTACACATCCCCTGGTAACCATGAGCCATCCCAAAGGGCTGCAGTTGCTGAGTAATAAAATCGATCCCGGCGTCTAAGTCGTACCTCTGCCGCTAAAACAACTCTCATCAGTTTATTCAAACGTCTTTCTGTGAGAATAACTCCTTGCAATGCCACACTTTTCAAGATGTCCTTGTGACTCATCACAAGCCTAAAAAAAAAAGGTTATGATGCTATCCCTGTTGATTGTGTAGCTTTCCTTTGACCTTTCAACTTTGAATGAAGATACGTTCGATTTTCTTATTCAAGTTACCCGCAGGGAGCCACGGTTACTTTGTGTGCACGAACAACTATTTTGTGCACACGATATATTAGTCCATGCGCACGAAGTAGAAGTTCGTGCCAACAAAGTAGTTCCTCGTGCATACATAATAGTTACTGCGTGTGCACAAATTCTTTTTTTTTTTTTTTACTATGTGATATTTGAGACTCTATATGGAGCAGTCCCTTTCCTATTCCAGCAAGGCTTTGCCTCAGTGACACAAGGCCCATAAATATATGCATGCACGAGTTTGCTCTTTTTGGATGAATGGACAAAAAAAAAAAAAACAAGCAAACCAAAAATCTCCTCCACACACTTTTGTTAACTCTCCATAGCACATTGAAGCGCCTTGGATTGATTATTTTACCAACTCCATTTTTAACAGGTAGTTAGTGACTGTATCAGAATACATTTTTAAAGTAACATTTCCAACCTTGTGAATGTATGTATATGCACGTATGTTATATATCTCACATAATTGTGCCAAAGGGGAACAATGAATCTGCTGCTTACATAATGAACCTCTCGGTGCTGTACCTGGTGTGTATTTTTTCTCGCGGATAACTACTCTACATCTTACCAGTAGTTGTCACGACCCAGCCTAGAAATCTGTTAATCTATTACCCAACGTGATCAGTACGTGACATATGGTGTTTGTCTGTCACGCGGGGGAACTCTTGCCATTCAGGCTGTCTCACTCTTCAACTTGATCTGAACTGTGCTGTCAGGCCATGCAGAGTAAATGACTTAGAGGGACTCAAGAGCAGATCAGCGCAAACTACAGGTCACGGTGTTAATAACGGGTCCAGAGTGTCACACAGAAGCTGACAAATAACAGGTGCATGTGAGGAGGTACTGTACTGTATGTGTTGGAAATGGAGCCAAGTGGAGATGTTCTTCTCTGTACCTGTACAACCCAATAGGTCTGCTCCCCTTTCATCTGCAACTACCAGCTGCTCCAGTGCACTGAGGTCGCAAACACAGGTAAGCGTGGCTTTTTTTTTTCCTGTATTCCCTCAAGATCTCAACTTTGAAAATGTTCATGTATAATAATCAGGATGAAAGTAATGAGCAGCACAGGCAAATCTATAATTCAGCCGGTCCACTGTGCCAAGAGCCTGGCATCCAGCCAGCAGGGATGGAGGAGTGGCGGGCCAGATAAAGCTCATTGCCAACGTCGTAATGTCTGGCGCTGGTGCATTGTTAAAGATTACTGTTAAAATGATTCATTTCCAAGCCAATAAGCGCCAGTACATTGTAAGACCTCCACAAAGGCTTTGTGTAGTTTCCAAATGACTGCTAACCTTGAAACAGAAGCTGAACTTCAAACCTGGAGTCTTAATCACAAATGTGATTTAATTAATGACAGTAATAACAATTCTGCACCAACGGAAAGATCTGCAAAGCACTGAAGTAGGGGTTGACCTTGAAGATGCACTGAGAGAGACAATTATCATGTACGAACACAGGAGTTTTCCTTATTTTTTTCATTTATTTATTTTTTTAATGGGCTCCGCAAGAATTAAATTAAGAGCAATGTGAGAATGGATTGTTTAAAAAAAAAAGACAAATATTAGCATTTACGGTAAAATTAATGTTTTTAAAATCAATGAAATGAAAAAAGAAGTCAACTAATTAATCAATTTTTTTGAGAAAAATGCGTAGTTGTAGTTCTAAAATTCTAGATTTTACACCTGATCCACGTGATGGGTATTGGCCGATCACATTCATGGATGATCGTGATTCAGTTTAAAATCCGGATCGGACCATCCCTAGTATTGGCAAATGTGTAGGTGAACACTGAGAATCAAAGTGATATTGTATTTGATGTTATGTCTGAGAATTAAATTAAAAGAATGCAAGATAAACAAAATAAAGACAGTGGTGGAAATGTGACTCGGATTAGAGTGTGCACTCCGTTGTCTCATGTGCCTTGACCTTTTTCTATATGAGAGCAGGTTCACAGTTGAGATCACCTCTTATAAGAGCCACTAATCCTGAACCGGTCGACCCATCTGCAAGGTTCATACCAGGATAAGAGGAATGTTTAGCATGTTGGACATGCTGAACACACGCACACATTCCTGTGTGTAAGTGTGTGTGCGCACTGACTTGAGCATATGAATGCAATTTTTTGGTATACTGCTCTTTAAAATGCCAAATTCCACTGCCCCGCCCTTACTTTAAGCATCAAATTAAAGAGCACGTAAAAATAATAGTAATAATAACAATATACAACTGGCAGTGTCAACAATATGTGCACTGTTCCAAATAACAAAAGTGAAATTTAAAATTTGCACATTCAGCAGTGAACTTTGTATATCACTGGCATGAAGACAAGTCGCAGTAGTAGACATGTGCTGACCTAACCAAAACACATACCAATTACAGTTTTTGCAGCGCTCACTCAAGCGCTGCAAGCCTCCGCAACACAGTTTCGCTGTGCTTTCACAAACAATGAATCGACGGTGCACTGCACTGTGCCAGGTGCAGCGTGAAAAGGGTGTAAGAGGAAGAACATGACTTTCATTTTCTCTTGATGTCCCAATTTTCATACGTGTAAAATGTGTATTTATTGTGAATGTTAATGGCGGTGACAAGTGGAAACACGGGGGTTATCTTGTAAAGACCATACTTATGCAGATTTTTTTCTTCAGGTCTCCATTCTATGGCCAAGGCATCATGGGCGTTGTCAATTCTGTTTCTGCTGGTGCTCCCGACTCCATGGGTTGGCCCCGTGCCTACCCACCACCTCTGTGGCTCCCACCTTGTGGACGCCCTGTACTTCGTATGTGGAGAGAGGGGCTTTTTCCACAGCCCGAGACGACTTCACAAGAGGGAGTTGGAGCACTTACTCAGTAAGGCCATGTAAAATCATCCTCATTGGACGTCTTGAGTGTGGATTGTTCCCTTTCCTATCCGGTGGTTAGGAGAGAATCCTTCTGCAGAAGCCTCTTGGAGGGCTTGTATCTACCGTGCATCCATTTCTCTGGCCATGGGTGCACATGAGTGGTGCGCACTGAAGATGTTAAATGCACACCAGATTGTATGCAACTGTACATTTGCTTACCAAGCATATCAAATTTTTCATGAGTGAACGTACCATCAATGGAGTTACTTCATGAAGTGATTCATTCCTTTCTCAATTCAGTTGAGCTCAGCCACATACATGTGCTGCACAATATATATGTATTTTATATACAGTATATAAAGACGACAAAATTTGACAAAGTAAACAAATGCCTTCCAAAGTTCAACACCCTACTTTGACGATATCTTTTGCATTGCATAGTAGCCTCCTGTGCTAGTCTAACTTTCAACAAGAGTCAATGAAGAAACATTTTTGCACTAAAACCAGACATTGTATAAGACAACAATGATAACGGAACCGATTTGACTCATTAACTGCACACTAAGTATAATTTTCATCTAAAAATAGATGTACGTTTTTTGCTGGGGCGGCCCGGTGGTCGACTGGTTAGCGTGTCGGCCTCACAGTGCAGAGGTGCAGGGTTTGATTCCAGCTTCGGCCTTTCTGTGTGGAGTTTGCATGTTCTTCCCGTGCCTGCGTGGATTTTCTCCGGGTACTCTGGTTTCCTCCCACATTCCAAAAACATGCGTGGAAGATTGATGGAACACTCTAAATTGTTGCTAGGTGTGATTATGAGCGCAAATGGTTGTTCTTCTATGTGTGCCATTTAATTGGCTGGCAACCAGTTCAGGATGCCCCCCGCCTGCTGCCCGAAGACAGCTGGGATAGGCTTACCCTTGCGAGGATAAGTGGATCAGAAAATGGTTGGATGGATGGATGGATGTTTGTTGTATTTTCTCCTTCTTTAACTTTTATTCAGGGTGACTCAGGTGAGTGCTTAGCACTCTGTGTTGATGTTGCTTACTAGAAGCCTTACACAAAGGCACCCAGCAAAGTAGTTCCTCTTGTTCACTGACACATGAACTTTTTCATTTTCCTTTCAGGAGCCTTGAGTGACAAGTAGATAGCATTTCAAAATATTAACCGAATGTTGAAGCGATGACAGGCAGTAGTAATAGCTGGGCTGGCTGAGTATTTATGTGGAAGCTCTGCAGTCGAGTGTTAGCAAACAGTCAATTAAGGTCAAGTAAAGGGACAACACACGATATTAGAAGAATGCATTGTTTCGAACGTACTTTTAAGGCCGCCGTCATTTGCGATCTCCAAGCAGCTTTTTTACTCATTTTGCGGGCTTCAGCGTTTTGTTTTTGAATGTCGTCGGTCACGTGACCGAGAAGTGTAGCTTGACGTGAGTCAAGCGTGACACAGACGGATGTAACAGAGAATCCGGTAATTTTTCAAAATAAAACATCTTTCGTATTCCGAAATAAATAAAACGGAAATAAGGCAAGTTCTTTCTGTGCGGCCCGGTACCAAATGCCCTGCGGACCGGTACCGGTCCGCGGACCGGCGGTTGGGGACCCCTGGTTTAGACCTCAAACAATACTGTGATGCTTTGAAGTTTAGACGTGGCAGCTTTGATAGAATCTATTGTGGCTCTACCGTATCCCCCTCTCCGCTCCGTCAAAGAGGGCCTAACAAGACTAAATAGATTGGAATGATCAGATTACCTAGCCAAGCCATTAAAGCTCCATTAAAGTGTGATGAGTCCAGATGCTCAAAGAGAGAAATTTGAGGTTCACACAGCAGACGGACTTAACTCGGTTTTGGAAACTTTCTTTCATCTCTAAGGGTCCCTGTCGAAAAAGGCCAGACAAGAGCAGCGGCAGTGGAGGAAATTTTCTGGAGGCGATGATTCCAAAGTGAAGAGAGGCATCGTGGAGCAATGCTGTCATAAGCCGTGCAGCATTTACCACCTGGAAGGCTACTGCGACTGAGCCGCTGACTCCACATACAGAACCACCTGTGAGAAAAGGTCCTGAAGTCCATGTTCGGTGATGTACTGGCTGTGTTTGAATGACAGGAAATAAAGCTCCATAACCCATAACCCGAGGCTCTTCTGTGCAAAGATGTGACTTTTGTTGGGAAATGACAGGATGTTGCAGGAAACATGAGTTTCTATCATTTCAACCTATGACTGCGATACGACAGTGCTCTCTGCTGGCTAGACACAGACACGGCCAATGTTGAAATCTGGCTTTATTTACAAGAAAGAATTATGTACACCCCAATACCGCAGACTAAACTCCCAGCTTACCTACATGATAAAAATATCATTTTTAAAATGCTCATCAGACGTCCTATGGAAGGAACCATTTGTTTATCATTTCTCAGACATACGTTTTGAACATTTCATTTTAAGATATGCAAGCCCTCTAACCTGAGCTTTTAACATGATTGGAATGTTAAAAAATTTGAGAATGATGCCCAAAAATACATGTATATATTAAAAACAACAACAACAAAAAGCAGACACTTAAGAAGCTCAATCATTGATGTTCTTGTCTAGTTGAATCTCTTTGCTTTGTGATTTTCTACAACAGAAAAAAATAAATAAATAAACAATCATTTATCCGTTTCCCATTTTAACTTTGTGAAAGTAGGAGAAGATGAGGCAATGGCTGCTCACCTTCTTTCAGAGCTGTTGCAGTCTCAGTGTGCCTGTTCTCCTTATTGTGTTGGAATGCTTTACTGGGATCAAACCTGCGCTGAGATTCAGCGGGGAGCTTTGATTTGAGGTGATTCAGATCACCTTTCTGACGACTCAACTGGGAGCGAAGCTTCAGCACCTCCTACAAAGACACACACGCACACGCACAATGAGACAGAGAGAGAGGACTCGCGCAAGACAGTCAAAGGTCATACAAGTCATTGTATGAACACCAACTAGTCAGATTGCAATGTGGGTCATTTCCAGATCGCTTCAATTAGCCACATCACACTCGCAGCATGATCCGCAAGGTGAGATCTTGCAGTTTACCTGACTAAACCCTCTTTGCACATGACAATCTCATGCACCCCAGCGAGGCAATTTTTGCTTCCGCAACGTCAAGCACTGTGACCGCCCTGATTTTAAAGGGAATGAGGGGAGTTGCTTGGATTGGCCGCGAGTCGGCTGCGTTCCATCCCACGAGGGCGCAAATGCCCTCTTCTATCTGCGCTACACCAGCAAAATATCAAAACAAAGAAAACACCACCCAATGTGCACAGTCGGACTGCGCTTTGCCCGAGACTTGTGCTGGGCACAAAAATTGGGTTTCGTGTGTTCCGTGCATGCGGTAAATTAAAATTCAACTTTTCACGGTCCAAAGCAGAGGGGTCCATGCAGACTCTTGCTGACAGGTATCGGATGACAATGTTGACATCACCAACACGTGGTTCAACTAGAGGTCTAAGCTCTGCTGTGAAACTCTTTATGTTGTAAACTGTGGTTTTAGACATTTTTTGATGCGTGCATATATTTTAAAATTAATTTTATTGTTTTATCGTGGAATGTCCAGAATGTTGTAACTTGTTTTGAAAAGCACAATACAGTTATTCACGTTCATATTAGTTACACACTGACAGGAAAATAAGCCAAGTGATGTGTTCGAATACCGCATCCCAGTTGCGTTACCTGTTTCAGGTTAAAATTTTCATCTTTTAGCTTCATCACATGCTTAATCTTCTGCTTCTGATTCTGGTGACCCAGCAGGTGAGCATAGGCATCTGACAGCTTGTTTATTTCTTCCTGGTTTGCTCCATTTTCATTGAGGAGTGCATTTCGCTCAGCAGCAAAGTAATTCAACTGCTCCTAGAGGTGCCACAAACAAAAAAAAAAATTTAAAGGGGTATAATGAAATCAAAAGTCTCGTTATTTGGTAGTGTGTTCCCAACATTTTATCCATTAAATGCATCACTGTTTTGTTGGATTGTCGCGTCTACACAACAATTACAATGACAAAATTAATCCAGTGTATTTCGTCGTGTCTGCTTAAACTGCTTGGAAGAGACGAACCTCAAAGGGTTGAACCTTAGCAAACAGCTCCTCATACTGTGACCTCCAATGTTCTGCCTCAGAACTTGAAGAGCTGTGAAAGAAAAAAAAATGTTTTTTTTTTTTTGCAAGGTGTAAATAAATTCATGCATTCATTCCAAAAAAAAAAAAAAAAAAGTTGCTCACCTCTTTTCCTGTGCTTCAGTGATTTGATTTTGGAGTTTCTGTTGCTGCTCATCCACCTCCCACTGCAGTGTGACCTTCTCCTGAGTCAGCGCCTTGACCTGATGCTGCAGAGCGTGCCGCTCTTGTTGTTGGTATTCCATTTTGCACAGCAGACCCTCCACCTTTTCCTCTGTGAGGGCCGTTTGTGCCTGAAGGTTCACACACTCTAGCTGAATCTCATCCAAGCGATCCTCAAGCTGCCTTTTCTCTGTATTTGCCATCATCAATGATTGCTCTGAGAGTTCAACTTGCGTCACGAGTCGACTTCTTTCCTCACTTAATCTATTGAGCTCAGTCTGTAGTCTGTGAACCTCTGACCTGAGCTGTTGGTGGTCTTCAGTTTCAGCTTCCAGTACTGCCTTTTTCACCTCGAGCTCGGCTTGATATTTAATTTTCTCCTCTTTTTCTTGTAACAGTTGTTCCATTAGTTTCACCTTTTCCTGGCGGACTTCCCCAAGCTGTTTCGTAGCCAGTTGTTCCTGGTGGTGAAGCTCAGCAACTTTCTGCTCTTCAATTTGCCTCAATGCTTCTTCCTTGTCTTGTGTCTGGCGCTGTACCTCCTGCTCTAAGTGAGAGATTCTCTCAGCATGGCTGGCCTCCAAGGCCTGCATCTCCTGAACTTTTTGAGCGAGGTGATCTTGCACCTCCTGCAAAACTCTAGATAGATCAAGATAAGAGAGAAGAATGAAGAAAAAAGAAAAAGGAAGACTTCATTGGTTAAACTTATGCGATTTAAGAGGCAAACCCTGAATTCTTCTGTCTCATTCGGTGCTCCTCATCTTTTTGTTGAATCGCTTGGTCCATCTCCTCTTGCATTTGCTGGGTCACTCTGTTCATCTCCTCTCCCAGTATTTTATAGCTCTCCTCGGAAGCCCTCAGAGCCTCTTTAGTGCTTCACCAGACAAAAGAACCATAAACTCTCAGAATATTGCAATGTAACACAACAGCAACAACAACACATTTGACAACTCACCATTGAAGCTCTGTTGACATCTCTTCCAGTTCTCTCCTGGCGGTCGAATGCTCCTCTTTCAACAATGACAGGTCACTGCTCAAAGGATCGGCTATGATTATTCAAGTGTTGATAAGCAACTAGCTTGGGTACAAACAAACTCGAGGCTGGGCAATGAATCACTATCAATATGTGTCATGATAGAGCAAGATCAATATCAACAGAAAATACATTTGGCAAAATGTAAAAGAAAAAAAAATAAAGAAAAATTAGGAGGAAAACCGCAACCCCGCACTGCCAGGCATTCTGCGGGATTGAGGAAGTGTTTGCAGTATGTCATTAGATTTGCACCACATTTCCAAGCACATAAGTGGAAGTATTGAGCACAAAAGTGTGTCTTGCCGACCTGAAGAAGCCACTGAACCAATCAAGAAGTGCAATGAACGATGCTGCTTTGGGGTAGCATCTTCCACATATGAAAATTGACAGCACTGCTTGAGGATCATGGATGTAAACAACAGTGCACAATACCTGATATTATAATGTACACAAAAAAAACACTATAAAGTCTTTGAAAATGAGTTAGTTTTCCTCCAAATAGTTGTTTTATTTGATTATATCTTTAATCCATGTATTGTTTTTCTTATTTTGGTGATCGATAGACCAATATGAAATTTATATCGTGACACATCTATAGCGCCCAGTCCTAAACAAAAGAAATCTATTAGATGCTATTAAATAGGTGACCTTCAAATGGTTGTTTCGACAACTGAGAATAGGTATTGTTACTTAAACAATATATAATAAACTAACACAATGCATTTTTATTTACTATCATGGATGAAAATGCTCATTCTGTTCCTCAGAGCGACACGGGGTCCAGAATATTTCCCGAGCATTTGTCTTCATTAAGGAGATTAGGAGAATGAAAGGATGGGCCAGCCTGTGGGACGCCGTTATTTATCCCGTGTAACAGATGTGCTGCTCAGCTTGAAGCGGTGGTCGATGTCAAATATGCTGAATTCCAGGAATTTACACCCAGGTTGAGTTGAAATGTAATCAATTGACATTACACAATTATACTGTAACTGAGAGGGACACATGATGTATGTGACGCATCTCATCTTGACTTTTTAAGCCAGAAACATGCTTTAAAAAATTATTCGCCTGATTAATCTGTTATTGGTATTTATTTATTTGTGGGGGGGGGGGGGGGGGGATCTGGGA